TAAACTCTGAGTATAAGAATGTACTCAGCTAGACTTACCCATCATAACCCAGAAATAATATGACACCAAGGAGTATACAAGGCTTTATCGATGGAGTTAGCTTGACAATATTTTGCATAAAAGCTTAAGTAACATAACTTGGAGATTTAGTACCTCTGGCATCAATTTGAATACCTATTCAATTAAGCATCTCTAGATTAGCACATGTACTAAGGCAATCACTTGATTAAGCTAACAAGCATTAGTAACCATATCCAGGAGAAATGATGACTCGAATCGATTCCAACCAGCTGAGGAGTTATTCCTAACACAAACACATACTTTCCCCGTTGGGGTCACGTCGGGTCACCTTTGATACAATTCAGGTACAGTCGTGGGTCCGATCAGCGTCGCACCTTCAGAGATTCTACCAGTCTGCCAGGAAGTTCAGGCCCGGCCTGCCCTTGGACTCACACCACTGGCTCCCCGCACATCCTTATTGCCTCCAGTGTGCGCACTTTCACTTACCGGGTCCCAGCCTGAGTTGAGCTACTCGGCTTCGCTGTCGGAACAACTTATCTGGCCAACTAAGCGCTAGGCATGCGTTAACATGACATGATAATGTACAATGAATCGGTCCTTAACCGACACAGACGGAGATAAATAGGCACCAAGGCCTCCATGCCTTGTTGCTTCTCTATCATAATCCCGCCCGGTCTCCTTTTTATTCATCAACACATGGTTATTTCCATGATAGCAATTATAGCCAATCGTGATCAGATATCTATCTATATCTTGCAGGTGACAGGAAATCACCCGACTTCTACCGGACTAAGCATAGCTAAGCATATATTCAATCATGTACCTACAAAGGATTCAAGATATATTTGTCTGGACGAGCAAAATATATGCAGCAAGTGTTTCCAATCAACTCATATAACCTAATGCATCAAACATAAAGGACGCAAGTGATATTTGTAAAAACATAGGAGGCTTATAATGCTTCGGGGCTTGTCTTTCAAGAATGAGGAAGGTTGGTGGTCAGGACACTTAGGAAAATCTTCCACGTTGACTCATCCTTCCGCCTGAACCTCCTGCTCCTGGGTTGCCTGTTGCTCCTCTTGATGCTCGGGTTCGAACTCGAATAGAGTCACTCCTTCCGGTGAACCTATTGCATGCATATGCACAAATGAGTATCATGAATGCATAAGAGATGAGATGATATGATAAATTGTATACGCATGAGCATGGTTATCCGTAAGATGTATGATAAGTTTAATATCCGTTGACCAAGTAAATGTATAACTTTCTTCTAGTTGATCTTTACTGGGTAAGTGCATACTCTTCTATAGTATAAGAAATATACACTCATCAAGTTCTAGTAACCTAAGGTAAAGTTGTTCATCATCAGTAAGAGACTTAGAACCTGCAGCTAACAACTAGTCTCAATTAGCCTAAGCATCTACACAAGCATCATATAAGACAAACACTTACAAATGACTTAGTCATTTCCTGCTGTAAACAGCAGCTACTTATTTTGGTCATATCTAGAGTTCTACTCAACCAAATACTATGATCTTAGACTTTCTAGAAAGCTTATAAAACTGCCTACAACTTTCTTATAGTCATCTCAAGATGATTCAATGGCTATAAAGGTCAAATAAAGCAATTTTCCAGATCTATCCAGAAATTCAAGAGAATAAGTATTTCTAGAGACCAACTTATAACAGCTATAACTCTCAAACCATTTGTCCTCTTGCCATGAAAATTTGACACAAGGAAGATAAGTAAGTTATCTATAACTTTGTTATTGACAAGATTCACAGCAAACATCATTTTACCTATGCAATTTATTTAACAACAGAAACTGTTCAAAACAGTCACTAAAATCGAATTATAGAGCAATTAATATTTCACTGCATATAGGTAATCAAATTTGGACACAACCAATGGTATCAACAGTTCATAGACATCATATACACTTTAGAAAACATAATGGTCAAGCCCAAATAAATTATTTAAATAAAGAGCGTACCTAGTATAGAGAGCTCCCGCTCTGTATGGGGTATGGGGAAGGGTGTCAGTGACAAGCCTTACCCTCACCTGTGCAATGCGATGAGACAGCAACTCGAACCCGAGACCTTCCAGTCACAGACGGTAAAACTCTACCGCTTGCACCAGGCCCGCCCTTCAAATAAATTATTTAAATGCATTAATTAATTTATTTGGACACTAAGGTAAAATAAGGAACATAAATCTAACATGCACAGTAAATTCTAAGAAAATTATAGTAGCCTACATATGACCCTAAAAGTCTACTGTACAAATTTCATGTCATTTGAATAAGTATAGCCATCTCTATAAAAATAACAAGTTGCATAGGCTTATTTTAGCAAAAATAGTTTAGCCTAGTGAAAACTGTCAAACAACAGATTTCATATTTTTCTTACATTCATCCTATCACCATAACACTATGTAAAAAAATGGATGATCATTAGTTATATATTTTTACCCCATTTATTTTTAATAGAAACTAGCAATTATTTAAGATTAAATAGAAAGACCATATACCAAGTATGCTTACTGTAGGCTTAGTATTTTTCTTAGCTAGAGCATGTCAACACAAGATCAGCAAAATTGGAATCACAATTTTATCATTTTCCGAGCTTAAGTTATGCATTTTACAAGATATAAACTACTTTAAAAGCACTTATCTAGCTCAATTTAATTCTCCTAGAAAAATATCCCAAACAGTAGGTTTTATATTTTTATCAAATAGTACACTTCATGATGAATCCAACAAAATTTAGTTCACTCAATTTTGACACTCCTAGCTCTATATATGAATTTTTGAAACATGTATTCAAATCTGAAAAAAAAGAAATCAAAGAACACACAGACTGATAGATGGGGCCCGCGGTTAACGGGACCTGGTCGTTAGCGAAACAGAAACAGAGGATGGAGGTTGACCGGCGATAGCTCACCGTCGATGAGGTCTCCGACGACGAGGTTACCTCCGTCGTGCTCCTCACATCAACCCGCACCCAGGGGTACCCCAGGTTGGGTCGGCGGCTCACCGGAGCAAGCTCACCGACGACCATGGCGGACAGTGGTGGTCGCTCGGTGGCGCGCCAGCCGTCTCCAGCCATGGCAGGCTCCGACAAGGACGATCCTACCTCTACGATGACCTAGCACAGCTCTAGAGCAAGATCTGGCCACGGTGAAGCAGTGAGGAAGCCTAACCGCGTGCATGGCAGCACGACGGCGCCCTGTGCACGGTAGCAACGCTTGCCATTCCGGCGAACCGACGGTGAGAGGTGGGTCTCCATCTTTGTGATAGGAGTTAACGTTCGTGGCTACGCATAAACATCTTCAAGTGGGAGATGGCGAGACCTAGGGACTGTTGGTCGCGGCGAGCTTGAGCTCGCGGCCATGGCAGGCATGGCGGGAGCGGCGGTGCATTCCCGTGTGATGGTGCGGTAGCATCAACCCTAGATCCGGCCTGAGCAGCAGTGACCTAAGGCAACTACGGACCGGATGATAGGAAGATGGGAGATGCAGTGGAGCGGCCTGGCCACGGCAAGCCGAGAGCGCGGCGGCGCTCCGGTGATGTCACGACGGCGGAAATGGCCGTAGGCCTTAACCTTGGGCTCGAACTGTAGCTTTACTAGGTCGAGGCGGTAGAGTGAAGCAAGGTGAAGCTATTGGCGCGGGCAATTTGGAAATGGAGCGATGACGGCTGCACGCGAGCTCGGCGAGGCTCACGACGGCAATGGAGACAGTAGCGCTGCTGCTTGCTCTGCGTGCGTGGGTGAGAGAGGAGTGCGTGAGTAGGAGTGGAGCACCAGGGACGCGGCCCTCTTGTCCACGCGTTGGCTCGACCAGCCCAGCCATCGCCGGCGTACGGCCACCGCATGGCGGCCGTGGCCTGGCGCGGTCGGCCACTGACGGCGCACGGCGCCCGGTTCAAACCCAGCCATGAGGCCATCTGACAACGCAAGTTCAAGCCATTAGTACTCCTAATCCATGGCGAGTTAGTAAAAATTCCATTACTAAGAATTGTAGAGCTACCCGTGATCTCCAACTTTGCTTAAATGAGCTTGGTCTAATTCGAGCTGGTTTTCAAATTGGAAAGCTTCAAAGTATGGTACATGAAATTGTAAATCAGTTGTTAGACTTAGAAAAATTTGTAAGTTTAAAAACAACATTTCGTTGCTACTTGTGAGCTATTTTTTACCATGCTATGCACCGAATTAGGTCTTGGCCCAATGAAAGTTGTTACTCTAGTCAAGTACTACAACTTTGCTTAAGGGTGCACTGCCATGCAAGCACTCTAAAGCATAGTTCAATTTTGGTCAAACTAGGATCATGAAAATTGGAGTTTGTAGAATAACTATGACTTGGGGCTGTTTTGGTCCATGTCATGAATACCAAACTTGTTCCATGTACCCTCCTAAGTATGCCTAAGGTGTTTTTTTGACCTCACAACCATTTCTCACATTGATCACCCATGATAACAAGCATATGTATGTATATAAGCAACATCACATTTGATAAAGATAAAGTGAATGAGATGAAACTTCTTATGCTCATGCCCATGAATACTTGAATGATGCTTGTGCTCATGAAATGCAAGTGCTAAATGTAATGCTTGACACTAGGGTGTTACACATCTAGTACACCAAATAGCAAAGATCAATCCATAGAGAGTGGTTTGATGATGAAGCAGATTATACCTTATAAAAGATTTATCTTCACTATCTCCTTGAAAGTTGCCTAAATTTGTGAAAGTAATTCATATACTCGTACAATCCTTGTGATTCTCATCTTGTGAAAACATCTCCTATTGACTATTGTCTTATGTAAATTCAGTTTCAGCTCAACTAAATGTTCAGTCTCAAAAAGTTTCTTGTCCAGAATCATAGGGACCACAAACTATTAGCCTACCCAAGCAAGCAAGTGGATAACTAGATCTTCTACAGATGGAAATCATACAAGAAGCAAACCAAACTGATTCATACCTTCAAAGCGCAATGTTCACAAAAGTAGTGCTTGCATTTGGTGACCACTGGATCAACGAATGGCTCCCGACAAATGAAGCAGGCAAAGGGCAGTGCCTCCTCATCATCCTCATCCTCATCTGCTGCCTCACCATCACTCCCATCCCCACCACCCATGGCAATGCGCCGCTTGCGGGCCTTCTCGGCTTCCTCATATTCCTTCTTGAGCTGCCACCCGGACTTGTAATCCCCTCGGTCGTGCATGAACTTGCAGGAATCGACGTAACCACAATACCCCGTCTCCTTGTAGTCCTTGCAGATGTCGGGCTGGTAGTCGAACCGCTGGGAAACGTGAATGTGGACGACCGCCCGGAGCGGGCCGTGCGAACCGCCGCCGGCCTTCTCGCTAGACACAGTGTGCTCCCACAGGAACCTAGCCTTGTAGTCCGTGTAGCCGTGGATCCCCTTGTACACCCCCCTGGAGGCGGAGGCGGAAGCGGAAGCAGAGGCGGAGGCACCGGAGGGATTCTTCTTGAGGAACTCCTCGGGTCTCTCGCGGATGGCGCGTGCGTCACGGTCGAACTCCATCTCCGTGTCAAGCATGGCGGTTGCGCGACTGTCCGTGGACTGGATCATCCGGGACGACTCATACTAGAACCGCCGTGTCTCGGAGGAGGCGTCGGCGGTGGAGAAAACGAGCTTGGCAGCGGTTGAGGACCGTGTCTTGGAGCTCGTAGCCACGAGGGCGCCGCTGCTGCCGTCATCGTCGTCGTCATCAGATCCCACGGGCGCGGCGAGGCGCTTCCGCATGTTCTTAGGTGGTTTCCTCACGAAAGTGCACACCGGCGCCGACCCACCGCCAGCCTCCAGCTCGCCGCTGCCGCCGTCGGCCATCGATTTGGTAGGGGGGTCGATTTGGTAGGGTTTGGATCGAAGAGGCGGGAGGGATTGGCCCCGTAGTCCTGTCCGTTCCTGATAAGTATGTGCACCCGTCGCTCCAACGCGTGTTGGAAAAAGCAAAGCCGAGCTAGGTCGGTTTGGTAATCGTAGCCCGTTTTGATACGGGTACTCGTGGGCCGGGCCTAACCACCCTACATGTCAGACTCTCCACCTGGATACTTTGCTTAGATGCTTGGATCCCACGTTCGACTAGTCAGCAATCAGCAGCGCACCGACCACCCCAGTTCTGTTCTACTACGAGGACTTCGTATCGGACGCGAACATGTGGATTCAGTCTTTGTATCAAAATCAGGTAGGGCGCGGACTCGTGAGCTCCGAGTAGAGGATGAATCATATCGGATGCAGACACATGAACATAGATCAAGACTTGATATCACTGGATATATAATTCGACCTGTAGTGCTACGGCCCGATTTCATTACTAAAACAGACCTTTAGTCGTTATACGGCGCTACAAAGGCCCATCTCACCGGCATGTTTTAGTCCATTATAAGAAATATTTTCCTCTTTCATTCATTTTTCAATTTGAAAAAATTTTATTTTTAAAATTCTCTTATTGTTTCTATTTATTTTACTCTAATTAAATATTTCATTTATTTCTATTTTATTATTTATTTATTTTCCTATAGTCCACAACCTGTTCTATAATGTATTATGAGTTGTTTTCATAGTAATTTTAAGATGTTTCATTATGTGTTTTAGATTGTTTTTGCAATTATTCTTGTTCCATACATTGTGTATTTGCAATGTTCCCATAATACATGTGAAATGTTCATTGGATGATGCTGGTTGTTCATCTAGTATCTATATGATGCTCCATGTATTTTTTATTGTTCACGAAGCACCCATGAGATATTACAGTATTGCTATGGGATTTTTCCTCATTATTTTCCACTATTATGTGGTTTCTTCCTTTTTTCTCTTTCCTTTATATTTTGTTTTCTTTTTTATTTTGGTTATTTTTTATTTAATAGCATATTCTTCATGTATCCTTGGGTTTTTTTAATATTCACTTGAACTATTTTTTATATAATATAATGCAACTGCTCTCATAGTATTTACAAGGAGTTTTCTGAATTATTGTTATAGTATTTGTAAGATGCTTCTCGATGTATTAAGGATTGTTCTCATATTATTCTTGAAATATTCCATGATGTATTCTAAAATTTTCACAAAGTACTAATGTTAGATGCATGGTGTATTTTATAGCGTTTCTATAGTACTCGTGACATGTCACATGTGCATTATGGGTTGTTCAATCCATGGAATGTTCTACGATATATTTTTGATTGTTGACATAGTATTCATGAGATATTCTATGGTGTATTTTAAGTTGTTCACGTAGTATCCATGGAATGTTTTTTCCTTTTTTATTTTCTTCTATTACATGGTTTTTTATTTTTTTATTTTTTATTTTCTCTTTTCTTTATGTTTTGTTTTCTATTAATTTTGGCTAATATTTTTATTTTACTTCATATTATATGTTTATTGTATCCATGAATTTTTTATATTCATTTTCTACAATATAATACATAGTAATTACAAGGTGTATTCTTGTTTATCGTTATACTAGTATTCATGTGATATTACATGATGTATTACAGGTCGTTTTTCTAGTATTCTTAAGGTTTTCCCCCCAATTATTCAAGTTCCATATATTGTGTGTTTTGTAATGTTTCTATAGTACCTGGGAGATGTTCCATGGTATATTTTCTGTTGCTCACGTAGTATCCATGGGATGTTCCATGATATATTTTTTATTGTTCATACAGTAATAATGAGATGTTATGTGGTGCAATTAGGTTGTTCATTGGTATCCATGGTGTATTCTTTTTTTCTACTATTATACATGAATATTATGAATAAAATTCTTCTGAAACTAGATTTTCTTATTTTCCTCTGTCTAAAAACATGTCTTTTGTATTTTTGTATATATCTCATAGCATTTTTATATCTATAATATTTCAGTAATATCTACTTGAACTATTTTTCTATAATCTAATAAGGTTGTTCTCACAATATTTATGAGGTGTAATTTAAATTATCTCTATATTATTTTTATATTATTGATGAGATATTACATGGTGTATTCTAAACTATTCATATAATATTTATGAAATTTTTGATATTCATATAATATTTTTAAGATTTTTCATGATGTATTATGGATTTTCCAAAGTAACCATGTTATATACAAGGTGTATTTGCAATGTTTGTCATAGTGTTCAAACGATACCTATAAGATGTTACATGATGTACTAGCAAGCATGTCCGTGTACAATTTCTTGCACGACAATTTGATAATGGCAATGAATAAATACAAAATTCAACTTAAAACAATGCAAATTTATAAGTTTGCGTGACAACCTTTTCTAACAGCGTCGTCATATATAGAACCAAAATATGTAACCTCATTGCAACACACGAACAATTTTGTCAGTTCAATAACATCCAAAATCCATGTAGAGCTAAATCTATATTTTATGCCTAATATTAGAAAGGGAAAATTTCTCTTACAGTGTTTTTTGTGCGTCCTTCATCTCACTGTACCACACTCCTCTTTGCATCTCACTATAAATATTAATATTTTCAAAGTTAACAACGTTTGACTTCTCAAGAAAAGAGAACATTTACTTTGTGATGGAGAAAGTATTTGTTTAGGTGTCTCAACGAGTTCTCCCGATAATATAGGGTGTGTTTGGTTACATGGGCTAGTCTAGCCTGACTTAAGGCTAATCCAAGTTTGGCTCCAACAACACAATCTGTCGTTGTTTGGTTCACCAGTATAGAGCAACTCCAACAGCCATGCTATTCTTATATTCGAGGCTATTTTAGAATTTGTATAGCAAAAAAGTAGACTCTAACAGATGTGCTATCTGGTTTTATAAAATAGAAAGTTGGCTATCCCTTAATTTTAGGTGGCCATATAAAGCCAACAATGGGCGCTAGCTGTCTGAAGATGAGAAATAGCAAGGCTGTTGCGCAGACCTCTTCTTTTCTTGAAGAATTTCTATTTTACACCTAAACTATGAAATTTGACTAGTAATTTTAACCAAATAGTTGGAGTTGCTCTAAGCTAATCCTGCATAGCAAATCTGTTGTTTGGTTGCCTGGCTAGTAAGAGCGAGAGGATGCTGGCGAGCCTCCGCTTCTCTGGTGAGCGGCCTCCCTCCCACCTCTCTCCTCTCCTCCCTCTCGTCCTGGGCGAGCGCGAGCCTCCTCTTCTTCTCCCTAGCGGGCGGTAGCGGCGTGGGCTTGTCGCCCGTGAAAGGATCAAGATGTCCAAGAGGAAGGTGAATTGGGCTAATCTAAAATTTCTCGCAACAATTAAGTTCTACCGCTTAGCCCATTTCACCCCTTATGCCTGATAGTGTTCTCCATTTTTTCTACCGCACAAAAGTTTTACATCCTAAGTTTTAATCCTATTCTAGCATGGCAATTCTAAGAATGCAAAGACATGAAGTAAATGCTAGAATGTAAATGTTCAAAGTAAAGAGAGAGAGAGAAATACGATGATGTTTTCCCAAGGTATCGGAGAGTCACCACTCCCCACTAGTCCTCGTTGGAGCACTCGCACGAGGGTGTAGCTTCTCCTCGATCCGCGCAAGGACCGAGTACTCTCTATGGGCTGATTCTTTATCTCTCCGACGCGTTGGGTCATCCACAATCACCACTGAATGATCACTAAGCTTCGAATCACCACCGAGCTGTTTAGGTGATGGCGATCACCAAGAGTAACAAGCACAAACTCTCACTTACCATGACAAGCCTAATGAGAAAGGTGGATGCACACTTGCTACTACATGTGCACTAATAAGGTCCTTAATCTTGGATTAACAAATCTTAATCACCCCACTAGGCTCTTACACTCCCTTGAACTCTAAATGGTTGCCTCAGCTGATAAAATGAGCAAGAGAGTTAGAATGGACGAGTTGGGGAAGTATAAGTACTCCCACACAAGCCACTGGCCGTTGGTGTCAAAAACACCTATGTGCTGTGCTTCGGACCGGAGCCAAAGGGATGGTCCGAACCAACACGCCTCGGTCTGACCCTCACAAAAAACAGCGTTGCCGCTGTGTCAGAAGTGATCGTTGGGGGTCCGGACCTTGCACCATGGTTCGGACCTAGTCCGAGTTCATTTCTCCTCTCTGGAACCTTTCTGTACTAGTCCGGACCGAGCTCATCATTGGTCCGGACCGGTACTATTCATCGAGTCCGGACGCGCTTGACACAGACCCTAGGCAACCGGACCCAGGTGACATAGTCCAGACGCCTCATTTCCCTCGGTCCGGACCAAGCGCGCACGTCTGAGAAGCTTCCAGGAAGTGCCACGTGTCCTCTGGACCCTCTACCATGGTCCGGACCATGCTCTAAACCTCAGTCCGGAGAAACAACCCCGAATTCACTTCCAATTCAAACACTTTGTGAAAAGGGGTTTGTTCCACTTGATCTTTAGGCAATCCCTAAACTACTTAGTGCTAAGTTTGACAAGTGTTCACCACACCTAACACATTAGACTCACCTAGGTCAAGCTACTAGTTCATACCCCCTTAATAGTATGGCTAAAGGAAAAACAAAGTCATAAACTACTCTAAGTGTCTCTCCAACGCCAATCGACACTTAGAACTAATCCATCCTTAACCATCCATCCTTTGAAAACTGAAATAATTTTCATCGATAGGGGCATGAAAACCATTGATTGCCCAAACAATCACCATTATCGTGACCTAACTTAAATTGCCTCTACAAAACACACGTTAATCATAATAATCTTGTATTGTCATTAATCACCGAAACTCACTAAGGGCCTAGATGCTTTCAGCCCCGCACGGCAGAACAGCTCCTCCGCAAGATCCGGCGACGACACCTCCCTCCACGAGATCCGGGCAACGACGGCGGACCAGCAAGATCCATGTGTGGCGGGGCACGGAGAT